GGAGCCGCTCCCCTGCGTTAGTGCCCCTTCTCCTCCCGCCTGCGTTCGGGGATGGGGAGGCACTCCTGGAGAGCTCTGCCCTCCAAGGGCGTCCTCGCGGCTGGGGCTCCCATCTCTCCCCTTTTCCGCAGGGAGAGATAGCGGGGCGGGGGGGTGGTGGGAGGATGGCCTTGAGACCAGGGCAGGCACTGGGAGAGCACGTTCCTGTCCTGCCACGGGTGTCTGTGGCCCCGGGAGCATCTTTTACCCTCTTCCAGCTCCCACTGCAGAGCAGGAACCGATTCGGTGCAGGACCAGGTGTGTTCGAGCCCCTGCACGCCATCCCCTGGTGCCCGCTGTTTAGATATCGGGGTGATCAACTCGGTACAGCATTAACTTGCTTATTTAACCATGTCAGTAAATGTTTGTCTTTTAATTCCTTGCAGGGACTTCCTTCCCCGAGGCTCTGGAATTGTCACTCGGCGGCCCCTCATCCTGCAGCTCATCTTCTCCAAGACAGGTACGGCCTGGGCAGGAGACGCTGTCCAGCTCCCCCGTCGGAAGAGGGAGAGGGTGGCTGAAACCCTTGGCTGGCAAACGCGGCCCCGTCTACCCTACGGATGGGAGGTACCGCCGGCGTTTGGCCCCTTGCCGGCGCTCGAGCCTCTCGTAGGTTTGTCGTTTAACGAGCGTATGACTATTTCGCTAACGGTTCTGCTTCGTTCGAGCGTTCCTCGAACAGGATTTTGACTGCTGGGCAGCGCGCCTGCCCTTGGGGATGAAAGCCGCCCTGGAAGTGGCAGATGAGAGAGGAGGTTTCTGTAATTTTGCACCGATGCCGGCGTTTCGGCGCACATCTGGTTGAGAGCACGCGCTGGCAGCGTGGATTGTGTTCAGGCTCGTTTCGAACAGACGCTGCCCTTGACACCCAAAAGCCGGGGTCTGTTCCGCAGGAGGCTCCTGTAGCAGATTGCGGTGATCCTTTCTTCCCCAAAAGGTGCTCAACCCCCAGTCAGACCGCGGTGCGTTTGAACAAGTGTGTCAGCCCTCTTTAGCTGCCTTGTGCTGGCACAGGGGAGGGCAGGGGCGTCTGTGGGGCTGCAGGGGAGAGGGGAGCAGAGCACGGGTTGAAGCGGTGATGCGTTCAGGTCCGTTTAGGTCCATCCTTCTGCTCCCCTCCAGCAGAAAATTCCTGTTTCCCTTAAGGTGTCATTATCCCGATGACAAGGGGGACTTTGTCTGTGCACAAGCGTTTAAAACGCTGGTGGTTGCTAATAAAAGCTTCCCCACTGCCCTGTGACTCAGTTCCGCTTCGCACCCTGGTGCAGAGGAGTTGCGAAATCGGCCTCTGCTCCGGTTCACCTGCCTCCACGCGTGGCGAGGAACACCGAGGAGCTGAACGCGGGGCACGAGGACGGCTCGTTTTCCCTTTTGAAAGCATCAGCCGGCCTGATCTCCGGGGAGATTCCTCCTGTTGCCTTCCCCTGAAGGAAACACGCGGGGCTCTTCCG